GCCATATTACTATATCATTGAAATTAATCATAAACAATTTTATACTTTTTAAATAAAAACTTTCAATTAAATTGCTTTAGAAATGATTAATAATATCTTTAATTTAATTTCATGCAACATTTATTGGGATATCTTTTAGATATTTTGGTTTACTTATAACTGAAGCAGTTTAGTTTTAAATTTCATCATTTTTTTCTTTGCCTTGATTATTAATGGTAGATATGTCATTCATATGTAAAGTAATAAACACATTTCTCAACTTCAGATTCAATACAGGATCCAGTAAGGCATCACAGTTCAGTGGCTGAAATAGCAATGTGTTAGAAGATAGGAAATCTTGGCCTAATATTTCTTTTAGTATGTAATTTTGCCCCAGCAACTTCTATGTTTTAAGCTGAGGGACTAGGTGAACTGCCATCACTCATCTGTCAGTTTGCCATACTGTGTTGGTTTCTGTGTTGCTGTGATTTGAGAAAAGATACCACTGGTATTTTAAACAACAGCAGAGTCATCCATGTTGGACATGCTTCATTAGAGCTTGCAGACTAAGAACAGGAAAAAAGGGAGGTGAACCATTTCTGAATGGTAAGCCAATGTAAACTTACAGCTATCAGTTGAAGATTGTAAGACAGTGTCAGAAGATGAACTCTCCAATTTGCAAAACATTCAAAAATTAAATTGGGGAAGAACTGCCCCTCAAAGTAGCACTTACAGGAATGATGTGAATTGAACAAAGCTTTCCAGACCTTCATTTGTTGATGGGACACAACTCAAAATGAAAAGAAACAGCTGGACTGTGAACCACACATTGACCTCTTCACATGAAATACATAGGAATCAAATTGTCTATAACTGTGGGTGTTTATTTTTGTAGAGGAGATGATGGAGAAGTTCAATATTATCAGCCAAACCAAGGCTAGGTGCTGACTTTGGAACAAACCATCAATTGCTCATATGCAATTCCATGCCAAAGTTGAAGAAAATGGGGGAAAAAAAGGTCCCAGAGACTCAACACATACCTTGAATATGTTGTTGTGGTTAAGTGCTGTCAAATCAGTTCTGACTCAACAACCCCATATAGGGTCTCTGAGAAGCAGTTGGTGGATTTGACCTGCTAACCTTCTGGTTCACAGTCCAGTGCTGATCCACAGTGCCACACTAGAAGTCTTTAAATATATCCCTCCTGAATTTTGAGACCATCTCAAATACAGATTAGACACCAATAACAGAAGACCAGAAATGTAATGGGATGAAATAAACAACATTATCAATGAAGAAAACAAAAGGTCATTAAAAAGTCAGGAAAGAGAGAAAAGACCAAAATGAATGTCAACAGAAACTCTGAAGCTTGCTCTTGAGGGCAGAAAAGCTAAAACAACTGGAAGAATCAAGGTAGTAAAAATGCTGAACAGAACATTTCAAATTGCAGCTCGAGAAGACAAAGTCAAATAATATAATGAAATGTACAAAGACTTGCAGTTAGAAAATCAAAAAGAAAGAACTTTCTCAGCATTTCTGAAGCTGAAAGACCTCAAGAAAAATTTCAGGCTTGTGATGTTGAAGGATTCCATGGACAAAATATTGAACCATGCAGTAAGTATCAAAAGAAGATGGGAGGAATATGCAGTCATGTTACCAAAAAGAATTGGTTGATGTTTAGCCATTTCAAGAGAAAGCATATAATCAAGAATGAATCAAGAAGGCATTGGTGAAAAACAAGATTCTATTTACAAATTAAAATGCTTCAGCAAACTGATGCAGAGCTAGAAGTGCTCTCTCGTCTATGCCAAAATATTTGGACAGAAACGACCTGGTCAAATGATTGGAAGATATCCACAGTTGTGTCCATTCAATAGAAAAGTGACCCAATGGAATGCAAAAATCATTCAATAATATAGTTAATATCATATACTATTAAAATTTTGCCAAATATAATTAAAAAAAAGATGGTTGCAACAGTACATCAACAGGAAGCTGTCAAAAATTCAAGCTGGATTTAGAAGAGGATATGGAACTAGGGATATCAT